TTATACTCAATACATGCTTTTCCTACAAAAATAAATAATGCCATAAAAATAAAATATTTTGAACCACACTTTAAGATTCCAAATATTTACAGTGGGATTCAAATTGGCTAGAAATCTAGATCTACATGCAATTTTCTTCATTTCTGTTTAGTTTTGCTGTCTGCTATGACAGCTAGTGACTAGGCTCAATATATGACTGCTATTGCATCTTTCAAACATAAAGATCAGCAAGGAAATCATTTTGCAAAGCCACATGAACAGTAGGAGTTAAAGTAAGTCAGCAATAAATTTATGTGGAGATTGCATATCAAACGATGAAAAGGGGAATCAAGTAAAACATGAACATCTAATAGGATGATTAAAGGTGTGGTACTAAAATATGATTATAGGAATTTAAGTTTGCCAATTACAAAAATGCTGCCCGTCATACAACTTTTGTTAAGTGACTTATCTGGGGACCATGCATCTTATTGGGCAGACAGTGCGGATCAGCATGAAAATATTTATTTTAAATAAAGTGCCTTTTAAACAACTTATGCTTGCTGTCACTGTTTTTAATATTAACATTTTTGTTCAATCTGGAATATTTACTTTGCTCTTCTTGTGAATTAAGAAACTGCTCAGACCTTCTAGGAATGATATGCTTAGATTGCTAAGTGAAAGTACACTTGCAACATGAAGAAAAACAACAGAGAAAAAAAAAAAAAGAAAAAAAAATCATTTCAGCTGCACTTCTCTGTTTAAAAAAAAATAAAAATAAATTTAGAAAAAGCCTTTTTCCCCCTATGGTACAATCAGAAAAGCCTTCCATAGGTATATGCACTGGACACGCTCAGCATTTTTACAGACACCTTGTTGCAAAATACAAAATCAAAAAGGTTCATAAGAAACTGCTTACATACCGCATGAGAAAAGGACAAAATTACAGTCAATGAGGTAAAGACATGCAAAAAAACACAGGGCAGTGTTTGTTTAGGAAATAAGGAAACATTCCTGAAGAACCAACCTTTTAGTCTTAGTCTGAAATATTCCTACTTCCACAATTAAATCTGCAGCGGTTTTCCGTAAATTATACTAAGTATAGGGTTGAAACAATCAAAACAGCAATGGGTAAGGACCCATTCCTGCCTCCACTGAATTACTTGGCAAGGCTGCTCCTGGCTACTACAAAGAACAGGATCACGTCTGTAAAGCATGAATACAAAACTTCTAGAACTCATAGGAATAACTACTGTGGGCCCAATGCTACTATCATTTCTACAGGAACAGTGGTTTCAACAAAGTGGAACTAGCTCACTAGAAATAAAACTACCCTTGAAATAGTAAGAGTTTAAGCACAAAATTCCTACTCTCAAATGTTGGAAGAACAGCTACTTTTGTTCCTCACATTATTCCTCAGACAATAATGCCACTGATTGTTTAAAAAACAGTAATTAGAAACATTACCCTTCGCGAATCTAAGCAACCAAGTATCTCAGTGATAAACAGCTATTGAAGCAAATGAAAGAATCAATTTGAAGGACGACCAAGAAAGCTTATGTGCACTACATTCTAATGTCATTAAATCAGATATTAATGATATAATGTTATTTGTTAATGTTAAAGTTATGTAACCCTAGAAGAAAAATGTTTAATTACATATTTATTTGTTAACAGGAACTAATTCCCACTGATGTGATGAGAAATAATGTATGATAATGTTTCTCTGACTGTACTAGAACTGCAGACAGCGAAAGCAGAAGACCTGGTGGTTGCCCACAGCACACATAAAACATAAGCCAAAGGTATAAAGAGCTTTGACACCACTGCAGTTATTTTTGCATACTTGGCACCTTGGCACAGTGGGTTTTTTTTTGTTGTTGTTGTTTGTTTGTTTGTTTTAATGTACCAGGATGAAAACAGGAATCAGAAGGAGGGTTAAACACTACCTTCTGCTAATTTACATGCTGTTAATATTTTCTTCCAATAGCTGAGATCCCTACAGCTTGCAAGATGTGTTTTTTGCCATAAAGCCACCGTACCTGTATCTTTTGTTGTCCACTGGCACAATATCCATAGCAATGTAATACTGCTGATGTGGGTCTAAACCTGAGATCTTCACCCTCATTGCGGGAAACATCCGCCTGAACATGGAAAGAGAGAGGTCATTTTTAATATGAAACAGACCTGGGAATGGTTGTTTAGGAAAAGTAACCAGTTCGTGGGATTTTTCTCGTTCTTCCTTTTAGCCTACAGAGTCCTTTTTGACGATTACAGTTACATAGCCATGAAATGGTCCATTCGATATGTCAAAACAGATTTTTAAAGTGCATTTACTTGAACAATGCTTCGTATGTTTTGGGATACGCTTTGGGAGTGCAACTATTACCACATCATTTCAGCTTTCTTGTTAGACAGTAAATCATTTTGTTTTGAGACTCTACTTCAGCAGTACACACTTTTAGAGCCCGTTAGAAATATTAACTAGAAATTTATTTCTGGAGATGTGCAAAACCCATCTCCGTCCAGGAACAGCAATGCTTACGGAAATGTAAATTGCCAGTTGCTTGAACTGACAGCGGCAAATGGTGTATCATTTGTATATCAGCAAATTACAAAGTTGAATCCATGGCGATACAATTATAACACTGCAAGGATGCAATTATAAAACCCAATGTGCCATGCTATAACCAAACAATATGGTCTTTATTGAGACGGACTTCCTGTCTGCAACTTACTAAAGGTGAAGTGCAAGAGTTACTCTGTCTTTGAAAGGTATAGTAAAACTTCTTTATTGAAAGCAGAAACGAACGTACAAGGTAATTTCTAAAAAATACGTTCACAATTTAGGTCCTTCTGTGGAGAAAATGGAATAATTAACCGATGCAGCGGTTTTAACATAAAAAATGCATTTCTTATTTCACCGTATGCTTGGCATGGCTTTTAATCGAGGAAGTGCATTCTCGATGCCAAAAAAGAAACATCATAACATTGAGCTGACTGCGAGCTAATGAAAGGTACTTTTCTGTGGTTTATAAACCTGAAAGCCATGCCGCTTTACCCACTATTTGTTGCTCCTCTAAAAAAAAATAATCAATTAAAAGTCGTTACTGGAAAGAAAAATCCTATCTCTTTTTATTCTTGAAAAAAATAACACAGGAGGGTAAACCTGAGTGTGGTTAACCAGTTTGCACTGTTATTTCAGTGCACCTGTAAGATAAAAAAGAAAATCCCTGACTGGACCCTGCTAAGACAAATGTTGCTTTGTGCTGTTTAAGACTGCGTTTCAATCATTAATAAAGCCTCTCTGAAAACGCAGAAGGTAGCATATGGATTCAATAAAATATGTTTTTGTAATTTCTAATAAGTTCAGATACTTTTATACTATCCAGGTTTTTGCCATCTGTATCCACTGGCAAAGGGGGAAAAGTTTCCCCTCAGAAGGACGCGGCGCTCGCAGGCTTCACCCTAACGAACAGGAAACCCCACACGGCCACATGCCCATCTGAAACTCTCGCCATCTCCCCGGCGTGTAAAGATTTTTCTCTTTTTTATTTTATTTTGGGGGGGGGGGGGGGGACATTTTCTCGCCCGTTTTCGTGCGGCGGCCGGCGCCCGCCGCCTCCAGCGGCCGTCGCGGGGCCGGGGAAGGCCGCGGGGTGCGGGGCCGTCCCCGCAGCGCCCCGGGGTGCCCGTTACCTTCCGGCCTTGGTGATGATCATCTCGGTGCCGATCTCGTGGAAGCGCTTCCAGAGCTCGGCTCCCTGCAGGTCCACCCGCGGCGCCTGCGGGGCGGGCAGCGGCGAGCCGGGCCTCGAGCCCTTCGGAGAACCGCCGGGCGAGGCTGCCGGGGACCCCGCCGGGAAGCCGTCCTCGCCTCCGCCGCCTGCGGAGAGAGGAGAGACGGGGAGGAAGCCCCAGGGCTTGGGGGAACGAGAGGCAGGGCCCGCCCGGCACCGACCCCCGGCCTTGTCCGCGGCCTTCCGCGCCGGGCTGCGCACCCACGGCGGGGCTGCGGGCGGTGGGCGCGTCCCGGGGCGCGGATCCCCATCGCGGAGCCGCGGGCACCGGCACGAGTGTGTCGCGAACGGACCCCCCCCCCCCGGGGGTGGCTCCGCCGCCTGGCGGCACCCGACGGCCTCCCGCGGGGGCCGGGGGTCGGGGCCGGGGGTGGTCACTCACCGGCGGGCCCGCGGGCGGCGCAGCCCAGCTCCATGTCCCCGCAGGTCCTGCCGCCGGCGGCGGGGGAGCTCTTGGCGCAGCAGCCGCTGCCCCCTTCGTCGTCCGCCGCCTCGTCCTCGCCGCCCAGCTTCCGCCGCTTGGGCTGCCGCTGCTGCTGCTGCTGCTGCTGCTGCTGCTGCTGCTGCTTCTCGGCGCCGATGAGAGCCTCCACGGAGAAGGCGTGAGCCTTCAGGCTCATGGTGGTGCCGGGCGAGGACCGCCGCTTGTCGGCCATGCCCGCCCCCCTACAGCCCGAGCATCCAGGCCCGCCGGCACCGGCACCGGCACCCGCGCCCGGCCGCCCTCCCGTCCTCCCGACCGCGCAGGCAAGGGGCTGGGGCTTTTCCTCGCCTTTCTTTTTAAATCCAAGTTATCAGCCAAGTTTTTTTTTTTTTTTTTCTCCTTTTTTTTTTTTTTTTTTTTTTTTAAAGAGGGGGGAAGAAAAAAACTCTATTCCTTTTTGCAGATGCGCTCTTTTTCTCCCCCTCCTCCTCCTCCTTCTCCTCCTCCTCCTCCTCCTCCTCCTCCACGTTCTGCCCCGTCTGATGGGCCGAACGGGACTGACATGGGTAACAAACGCTCTGCGGACACAAATTAGGGCTTGTAATTGAAATTTGTTGCCTTGATCTGTCAGCACTTCCAGGCAGGAGACCGGTGGGAAGAACTCGCTCATTAGTGTCACTGCGGCGGCGGGGGCCGGGCGGAGCCGCGGGGCGGGGGCTCCGCCGGCCCGGCCGCCCGCAGCCCAATCAGCGCCGCCCGACCGGGGGGGCCCCCGCAGCCCCGACACGACCGGGGGGGCCCCACCGCCCCGTCCCGGACGGGGGGGGAGGCCGCCGGCCCGACCGAAATAGCCCCGCTACCCCCCCCGTCCCGGCTGATGCGGCCCGCTGGAGGTTCATGAGCCCCCCCTCGACTCCCCGAAAAGGCGAGGGAAAAGTGTGGGGGGGGCTCTCCCATGGCGCTGCCCTCGGGATTTCGTTTTGCCCGGGGGCTACAATGGGGGAAAACGACGCTGTGCCCGTTGGTGCTGTTAAGGGTCGGTCATTATCAGCGGTATTCGGCTGCCGGGGATGCATCGCCCGGCTGCGACGGCCGCAGCCCCCTCCCCCCCCCTCCACCCCCCCAAAACCCCGACCCGCTGGAGCTGCGCTAAAAAGGGAATCAAAGCGAGCCTTGTACAACATGGGGGCATCCAGCCGAGGCAGCTTCATTAATAATCGTATTCAGGTGCATGGAATAGTCACAAGGAAAATCCTTTCGAATCTTTCCAGCGAGCAAAACTTATTAAAAGATGCAGTTTTGGAGCCAGATACCCTTTGCTTTGCGCTCCCAGGGAAGGGAAAAAGCTATCGAGATTTATTTTTTATGTTATTTTATTTTATTTTATTCGTTTCTCTGAGGGAGATCTGCATTTTGGGGGCTTTTGTTTGTTTATTTGCGCAGAGCCGAATGAGGTGGCACGCTCCGGTGAAGGAGCAGAAATCCTCGTGTAAAAAATCCTGGGGCAAAGCTCCCGCTTTCGTGGGATGGGATCTGGGCTTCTCTTGGCTGCATCGGGCAGCAAGGAGAGGAATTCCTAGCGTGGTTCGCCTGCGCTACCATCTCGGAGGTCCTGTCCGGACCGTCGAGTGGCTCTGCTGAGAGAACTGGAAGATTTCTGATTGTAGCCCGACAAGGAAATAGCTGCCACTTATGAGACGTAACTGCTTTCACTCGAGCATTTTACCTATCCCCGAAATGCAAATTTATCCCTAATTTCAATAGTGAGTGGGCTGCTTCGTCAGAGAGGCTGAGGAAGGGCTGACTAATAAATATACCCCAGAGATAAATTATCCCCTCGAATGAGGTTATCAGCACTTAAATTGTAGGGGCGCTTTCGAGACGTGAAAATATAGGTATGTGACAGATAGATAATTGATTAAAGCAGAAAAAAAAACCAACAACACACACCACGAAACCGACGCAGAAGTGTTATCCGTAGGTTACCACAGAAGCGCTAACTATCTCCACGTTGGAAGAGATGGCAATTTGTCTTAGAAAAATTCAACACTACGAAAAAAAAAAAAAAAAATCCCCTGCAGTTGCTGTCGCCCGGAATCGATAGGATAGCAGAAAATGCCTGATGCCTGTCACCGACGAACAGTGCTGCGGAGTTAGTTTATCTTTACATTAAATCTGGGACATATTAACTGTTCCGTGGTCTAAAGCCTGACTGCTCTGCCTATTCCAGCCGCGACTGAATCTGAAGGAAATCAGATGTGCGAGAGTGGTCGCAACGTGCTAAGCTAGAGGAGCTCGCCGGAGTTTAAACGCCGTCGCGATGGGGATGAGCTCGGGAGGGCGAGGAAGGAAGGAAACGGAGCCGAGCTGTCCGAGGGCGCTCCGGCAGCCTCCCCGCACCGACGGCACCTCCCGCGGCCCCGCGGCGCGCTCCCGCCGCCCTCCCCGGCCCACCCGCGGCACGGCCACGGCCACCGGTGCCCCGGCCCCGGCGGGGCCGGCGGGAGCAGGTACCGACCCCCGCCGCTGCCCGCCCGGGGGTCCGGGGGGGGGGGCGCGGAACCGCGCGGGAGCCGGGGGGCGGCGGGCGCGGGGCCGCGGGGCGCGGAGCCGCCGAACCCGGGAGCGGAGCCGAGTCGAGGCGCGGGGGGGGCGGGGCGGCCGCAGAGGGCTCCGGCCACGGCATGGCCGGTCCTGCCCCGGGGGGGCTTCGAGACAACCCCCCCGGCCTCAGACCACCGCGCTGCCCCGCGGAGCAGAGCCCGACCCCCGCCCTGCTCCGCATCCTGCCCGCGCTGCGGCGGAAGGGGCAAATCCCCCCTTCTCTCTCCCCCCCCCTTTTTCTTTTCTCTTTTTTTTTTTTTTTCTTTTTCTTTCCCGGGAGGGTGGGCGCTTGTTGTTGTTGTGGATTTTTTTTTCTTGCCAGATTTCTGTAGGTTACTTGTGGCATGTTGTTTTCATTTCTTTTCTTTTCCCTTTTTTTTTTTCTTTCTTTTTTTTTTCTTTTCCTTTCTTTCCTTTTTTTTTTTTTTTTTTTTTTTTAAATAATGGATTTAAATTTATCGAACAACCTGTGATCCATATGTCTGTCCGATTAATTTTTTTATGGGATGATGAAAGAGAGAAGAATCTCTATATATAGTGATCTGCTAATGGAATAATATATATATTCAAAACACCTTTCTGGGTTTTCTTTTATTTCCGGACTTTAAAATGCAGGCTGCCTTTGCAGGCACTTGGTTGAGGCGCTGCTTATTTGAAGTAGGAGAATCGTGTATGTAGACTTTCCGAAAAAGATATCTAAACCGTTTTCCACCAGAAGGATATTTTCCTTCTCTCTCTTCGAGAATGTCGAATGACATTTTGGAGATCCTTACGGCCGCGTATTGCCGTATCACAGTGTGATTTCTGCAAAGCTTTTCGAGCGTTAGAGCCGGGTGCCATCAGAAAGGAAAGGAACATCCACAGCGTACGCTTCTCTGTAAATCACGATTTGCTGTAACTTCCCAGCAGGGGACCGTAGGAGCGGTCACTAAGGAAAACATATTTATATCATTATCCATTTTTTCCCCCAGTGAGCCTAATCGTTTCACTGACAGCAGGTAGCTGACGGGGGCTAGACAGCCAAACACGACCATCTAGTGAGAAAATACAGACGACAGCGAGAAATTCGTGCGTAAACCCTGTTTCCCCAGAGCACCTTCGCCCCGCTTCTCTCCCTTGCCCTCCGCACTTGCGGATGAGCAGGAGGCCTGGGTGCGTTGGAGAGAGAATTAACACCTCCGTTTTTGCCATTAACGGGGTGCACGGCAAACCTGGGGCTGCTCTCCCAGAGATGCAGGTCGCCTTCAAAACGAGCTTGAGATAAGGTTAAGCGTGGAGTGAATTTCAAAGGGGCAGGGAAGCCCCCGCAGCCCCCCTGGCCACGGCGGGGTATTACAGCCTACCGGGGGCTCTCCCCGGAGCCGGCCCTTCGGCCGGGCTGCTCCTCGGCTTCCAGGAGGGCTTCAGCCCGGCCAGGAGAAGCCACGAGGGAGCCAGCAGGAGCAGCCGGCCGGAGAGGCGGCGGGACCCAGCTCAGCTTGCCGACGGGAGCCTGCCCGGCTCCTTGCCCCCGTGGGTCGCCTTCCGCGGGTGCGCACCGCCTTCACCCCGCACCGCGGCGGCCTCAGGCCCGCGGAGCCCCCGGTCCTCGTCCCGGGGCCTGGCTCGGTTTCACTGCCCCGTGAGCCCGCAGCCAGGCTGGGCAACGAGGGAGCGGAGCCCCTGCACCTGAGAACACCCGGGCTCGGCCCCAGTTGGGAGCTCTCAAAGCAGCGGGAGGGAGAAACCGAGCCGGCCCCAGCCTGCGGGGCAGGGGTGCAAGCAGCATCCCTATCGGTGCTCCTAGCCTGGGTGCCGAAAATTGGCGACAGGGCCCGGGAGGCGAGAGCAACCCCACCGCCCTCACCGCTCACAGCTCCCAGTGTCGCCTGCCGTGACCCCGGTTTAACGCGGGTTGCGGGCGTCGCCGGTCGCCCAACCTGCCGGGAGCGGCCCAACCTGCCGGGAGCGGCCCTCAAACAGGCGCCGTGCTTGGGGTTAGACGAGGACTTGTAGGCGCGGGTAGCCCGTTTTGTCCCCGTTTCAGCACTGAGCAGCGCTGCTCCGGGGCGGCCGGGAGCCGAGGGGGCGAACGGGTCGGGGCCGGCCCGGGGTGCCCGCCGTCGGGGCGCTCGGCCCGGCAGCAGCCCAGCGTCGCCCCCCGCACGGCGGCCGCCGGCCTTTTCCTGCCTTCTTCGTCGAGATCTTGGGCTGGGCAGTGTTTGCCGGCCGGTGCCCCCGCAGCCTCAGGTCTCGTTTTAAAACTGCGGAAAGAAATATTCGCTCCCCTGCTGCTGCTGAGCATAAATAAGATCAGCGTACGGAAATAAACGCTCAGCCAACCGGTCGGCTTTCCAGACGGGTGAAAATACTGAGGAATCGCATTAAAGAATTGAAAATACTGTTTAAAGGCACCCGTGTTAAAATTATAAATATTCTGGCGATTGCGCTTTATAGCGCTTAAATGACTACCTTGATTCAGAATTACGCAGCCACGAGTATGAATCATTTCTAAGGAAATCTCCAGTCTTTAATATGACGCTCCCACTTACATTTATTGTTCGTTTCAGACAAACGATTTTTAAAAATAGCCTTTTCATGACTGCAGTCACAAAATAAACGTTTGCAAACGCTAAATGAGGGTTGAAGAAACCTCTGGCTTTACTTTTTTATTGCTTTCCTATAAATTTAACTCATATTTTCACTATTGTCTCAGGAAAAATATGAAAACATGTATGGAATTAAATTAAATTAAGTAGCCTTAAATCACCGTAGTTTAGAGTAGAGTCACTAATTGGAAATATTTATGTTTGCTAGGCTGGGATTTCGGCAGTAAAAAGATACAGTATATCCCCGTTTTATCATAACGTGAGTCTACGGGAACATTTATATCATACCATTGTAAGAAATGATGTGTAGTTAAACAACATTTTTTAAGCAAGGCTTGTGTCTTTTTATGGTAACCCTCGGTCTTTAGTCAGGACTACTTCTCATATTACATGAAATGTACTTTAAGAAGTACTACCTGCTCCAGCTGTCCAGGAAAAACTGAATTATGGAACTAGGAAACATATGGCAGTTGCATATTGCACGAGTAAGGTACATATGAAAGTTATAAATTTCTTTTTTAAGTAACCATTGTAAACGCATTTTTATAGGTTTCACAGTATGTATTACATCTGTAATTTTAATTTTTGCAATATACCTTTTTAAAGATACCTATGTTTTCTGTACCCCAGGGAAGGAAACGCAAAGAGACGTTTATGCGTAAAAAAATTGCTGCGAGCAAAACAAACAAGCAAGGTAAATAAACGGGGAACCGGAGCTTCCGCACAATGGAAAGGACACTATGCCATCTATTGGCAAAGCAGTTATTTACAAAGCCAAGGGTACCCAAGCGAGTATTTTCCATTCTTTGAATGCTGTGCGGCAAAGTGTCACAGTCATAGTTTTGGTGTATTACAAACAAATGAATAAAGGCATTTCCATGGAGGTCCAGGAAAAAAAAGTAATTAAAAAAAAAATGAACCAAGAAAGAGGGAAAAAAAAAGAAAAAAAAAAGAAGAAGAAGAAGAAAGCAAAGTCAGTTAGTGAATTTATACCTCACAAATTAGGTCATTAACTCACAGGGGGATTTTTGCAGCTAATTGCAAACTCCCTTCTTGGAGCGCTGGGATGGGAGAGGTTTAGTGTTTTCGATTGTTTTATTACTGAACCATGTCAAAGAAGGCTTCCTTTTTTTTTTTCTTCTTTTTCTTCTTTTTTTCTCTTTATTATATTTTTTAAAAAAATGCAAGGTTACTTAAGGACTTTATGGCCACAAAACTACTCAGTAGGCTGCTTTAGAAGCTGACCTTAGGCTCCGCGTCCAGTGAGACTTCCTCTGAACTTTACGCGAATCTCACTGCAGAATCGGGCCTCCTTTTCCCTCCTACATGTCCCCCGCCTCGAAGAGCTCCCGACAGTGCTTTGAAACGCGGGGGGAAAGGACGGGCTCTGCCGGGAGGACAGCGGCGAGAGCGGAGAGGGGACCGGGGAGCATCGCCAAGTGCGCTTGTTGCGAGCGGCGAGAACGCTTCTCCTCCAGGAGAAAGCTACCAGCGCTTTTCCCGTTTCCAGGGAGGAGAGGAAAAGACGATGTTTCCCCACCAGCTATAAATAAACCGAAATAATCGTACAGATGCGAAGGGAAAAGTATTTTTTTTTTCCCTGCTCCAAGCGCAGATCAATTTCTGAACGAAAGCCCCTGCTTCTCCGCCTTGAACTGGCTTTCTTCCTGCTTCTCTCACTTGCGAAGGACTTGGCTTTTCCCCTGCCATAACTAGCCCGGCACTGCTCAGTGGGAAATACGAGAGCCCTTTGTTTTAGCTTTCAACGTCGTAATCTCCCTTTTCGCTGTCCCGCAGAAGGCGGCTCTGCGGTTCTTGTCTAGATACGTGCGTTGGGGGGGAAATTCCAGGGAGCACCTGTATTTCTCGGCTTGAAAGGTTAATCTTTCCCCACACAGAAAAGAAAAAAAAAAAAATCCCTAAAATAAAAACCCCCCAATTCCCTCCGTCTAAAACCAGACCCCAGAGGACAGGAAAACATAAAATCCAGACCCTACACTCATACCCTTTTACTGCTCTTCTCGGTGTGAACGTGTGAGTCGATGGTGTTTTACAAAGTTGTCTGAATTTCTTGAAAGGCCGTTCCTGTGTTTATATGCGAGGGGAATTGAAAAGCCCCGCTGCCTGAAGCGCACCTTCCCTGCCTGCTGTTGAACCCGGCAGCCGAAGCGGGGCTGGGAGCCCGAGGGCTTCGCCCCGGAGCCTCTCGCTCGGATTTGCGGCTCAGCCCCGCTCAGCTCGCCTTTCTGCCTTTCCCGCAGGCACCCCCGGAGCCCAGGAGAGCTCCGGGGGGCTGCGAGGGGGCTCCCCGGGAAGGC